GAAGATACGTTGACAGCCTCAGGAGATGAAACGGGAAGCACAACAGCAGAGCCCACCAGTCCTGCCACAATGTCCACCTCCCAGGCAGGAGAAATGACATCTTCAGGAGATGAAGGATCAGGTGTGACGGAGGAAATGCTGACGTTTTCGGGAGAACAAACGACTGCTGTAGATGAAAGCCTTTCCCTTCCAACCGCCACCACAGACACTGTCCCAACTGGAACACTACCGGATGAAGGGTCCGCAATAACTGAGGAAATGGTCACATATTCAGGAGAAGAGACTTCAAGTGGTGAAACACTAGAAACAACAAGTCCAGTGACTGTTACCACTGTAGCAGCAGATGACAAACAAACAGTGACTGAAGACTTCTCTGGCATAACTGAAGATACGTTGACAGCCCCAGGAGATGAAACGGAAGCACAACAGCAGAGCCCACCAGTCCTGCCACAATGTCCACCTCCCAGGCAGGAGAAATGACATCTTCAGGAGATGAAGGATCAGGTGTGACGGAGGAAATGCTGACGTTTTCGGAGAACAAACGACTGCTGTAGATGAAAGCCTTTCCTTCCAACCGCCACCACAGACACTGTCCCAACTGGAACACTACCGGATGAAGGGTCCGCAATAACTGAGGAAATGGTCACATATTCAGGAGAAGAGACTTCAAGTGGTGAAACACCAGAAACAACAAGTCCAGTGACTGTTACCACTGTAGCAGCAGATGACAAACAAACAGTGACTGAAGACTACTCTGGCATAACTGAAGATACGTTGACAGCCTCAGGAGATGAAACGGGAAGCACAACAGCAGAGCCCACCAGTCCTGCCACAATGTCCACCTCCCAGGCAGGAGAAATGACATCTTCAGGAGATGAAGGATCAGGTGTGACGGAGGAAATGCTGACGTTTTCGGGAGAACAAACGACTGCTGTAGATGAAAGCCTTCCCTTCCAACCGCCACCACAGACACTGTCCCAACTGGAACACTACCGGATGAAGGGTCCGCAATAACTGAGGAAATGGTCACATATTCAGGAGAAGAGACTTCAAGTGGTGAAACACTAGAAACAACAAGTCCAGTGACTGTTACCACTGTAGCAGCAGATGACAAACAAACAGTGACTGAAGACTCTCTGGCATAACTGAAGATACGTTGACAGCCCCAGGAGATGAAACGGGAAGCACAACAGCAGAGCCCACCAGTCCTGCCACAATGTCCACCTCCCAGGCAGGAGAAATGACATCTTCAGGAGATGAAGGATCAGGTGTGACGGAGGAAATGCTGACGTTTTCGGGAGAACAAACGACTGCTGTAGATGAAAGCCTTTCCCTTCCAACCGCCACCACAGACACTGTCCCAACTGGAACACTACCGGATGAAGGGTCCGCAATAACTGAGGAAATGGTCACATATTCAGGAGAAGAGACTTCAAGTGGTGAAACACTAGAAACAACAAGTCCAGTGACTGTTACCACTGTAGCAGCAGATGACAAACAAACAGTGACTGAAGACTTCTCTGGCATAACTGAAGATACGTTGACAGCCTCAGGAGATGAAACGGGAAGCACAACAGCAGAGCCCACCAGTCCTGCCACAATGTCCACCTCCCAGGCAGGAGAAATGACATCTTCAGGAGATGAAGGATCAGGTGTGACGGAGGAAATGCTGACGTTTTCGGAGAACAAACGACTGCTGTAGATGAAAGCCTTTCTCTTCCAACCGCCACCACAGACACTGTCCCAACTGGAACACTACCGGATGAAGGGTCCGCAATAACTGAGGAAATGGTCACATATTCAGGAGAAGAGTCTTCAAGTGGTGCAACACCAGAAACAACAAGTCCAGTGACTGTTACCACTGTAGCAGCAGATGACAAACAAACAGTGACTGAAGACTACTCTGGCATAACTGAAGATACGTTGACAGCCTCAGGAGATGAAACGGAAGCACAACAGCAGAGCCCACCAGTCCTGCCACAATGTCCACCTCCCAGGCAGGAGAAATGACATCTTCAGGAGATGAAGGATCAGGTGTGACGGAGGAAATGCTGACGTTTTCGGGAGAACAAACGACTGCTGTAGATGAAAGCCTTTCCCTTCCAACCGCCACCACAGACACTGTCCCAACTGGAACACTACCGGATGAAGGGTCCGCAATAACTGAGGAAATGGTCACATATTCAGGAGAAGAGACTTCAAGTGGTGAAACACTAGAAACAACAAGTCCAGTGACTGTTACCACTGTAGCAGCAGATGACAAACAAACAGTGACTGAAGACTACTCTGGCATAACTGAAGATACGTTGACAGCCTCAGGAGATGAAACGGGAAGCACAACAGCAGAGCCCACCAGTCCTGCCACAATGTCCACCTCCCAGGCAGGAGAAATGACATCTTCAGGAGATGAAGGATCAGGTGTGACGGAGGAAATGCTGACGTTTTCGGGAGAACAAACGACTGCTGTAGATGAAAGCCTTTCCCTTCCAACCGCCACCACAGACACTGTCCCAACTGGAACACTACCGGATGAAGGGTCCGCAATAACTGAGGAAATGGTCACATATTCAGGAGAAGAGACTTCAAGTGGTGAAACACTAGAAACAACAAGTCCAGTGACTGTTACCACTGTAGCAGCAGATGACAAACAAACAGTGACTGAAGACTACTCTGGCATAACTGAAGATACGTTGACAGCCCCAGGAGATGAAACGGAAGCACAACAGCAGAGCCCACCAGTCCTGCCACAATGTCCACCTCCCAGGCAGGAGAAATGACATCTTCAGGAGATGAAGGATCAGGTGTGACGGAGGAAATGCTGACGTTTTCGGGAGAACAAACGACTGCTGTAGATGAAAGCCTTTCCCTTCCAACCGCCACCACAGACACTGTCCCAACTGGAACACTACCGGATGAAGGGTCCGCAATAACTGAGGAAATGGTCACATATTCAGGAGAAGAGTCTTCAAGTGGTGCAACACCAGAAACAACAAGTCCAGTGACTGTTACCACTGTAGCAGCAGATGACAAACAAACAGTGACTGAAGACTACTCTGGCATAACTGAAGATACGTTGACAGCCTCAGGAGATGAAACGGGAAGCACAACAGCAGAGCCCACCAGTCCTGCCACAATGTCCACCTCCCAGGCAGGAGAAATGACATCTTCAGGAGATGAAGGATCAGGTGTGACGGAGGAAATGCTGACGTTTTCGGGAGAACAAACGACTGCTGTAGATGAAAGCCTTTCCCTTCCAACCGCCACCACAGACACTGTCCCAACTGGAACACTACCGGATGAAGGGTCCGCAATAACTGAGGAAATGGTCACATATTCAGGAGAAGAGACTTCAAGTGGTGAAACACTAGAAACAACAAGTCCAGTGACTGTTACCACTGTAGCAGCAGATGACAAACAAACAGTGACTGAAGACTTCTCTGGCATAACTGAAGATACGTTGACAGCCTCAGGAGATGAAACGGGAAGCACAACAGCAGAGCCCACCAGTCCTGCCACAATGTCCACCTCCCAGGCAGGAGAAATGACATCTTCAGGAGATGAAGGATCAGGTGTGACGGAGGAAATGCTGACGTTTTCGGGAGAACAAACGACTGCTGTAGATGAAAGCCTTCCCTTCCAACCGCCACCACAGACACTGTCCCAACTGGAACACTACCGGATGAAGGGTCCGCAATAACTGAGGAAATGGTCACATATTCAGGAGAAGAGACTTCAAGTGGTGAAACACTAGAAACAACAAGTCCAGTGACTGTTACCACTGTAGCAGCAGATGACAAACAAACAGTGACTGAAGACTTCTCTGGCATAACTGAAGATACGTTGACAGCCTCAGGAGATGAAACGGGAAGCACAACAGCAGAGCCCACCAGTCCTGCCACAATGTCCACCTCCCAGGCAGGAGAAATGACATCTTCAGGAGATGAAGGATCAGGTGTGACGGAGGAAATGCTGACGTTTTCGGGAGAACAAACGACTGCTGTAGATGAAAGCCTTTCCCTTCCAACCGCCACCACAGACACTGTCCCAACTGGAACACTACCGGATGAAGGGTCCGCAATAACTGAGGAAATGGTCACATATTCAGGAGAAGAGACTTCAAGTGGTGAAACACTAGAAACAACAAGTCCAGTGACTGTTACCACTGTAGCAGCAGATGACAAACAAACAGTGACTGAAGACTTCTCTGGCATAACTGAAGATACGTTGACAGCCTCAGGAGATGAAACGGGAAGCACAACAGCAGAGCCCACCAGTCCTGCCACAATGTCCACCTCCCAGGCAGGAGAAATGACATCTTCAGGAGATGAAGGATCAGGTGTGACGGAGGAAATGCTGACGTTTTCGGGAGAACAAACGACTGCTGTAGATGAAAGCCTTTCCTTCCAACCGCCACCACAGACACTGTCCCAACTGGAACACTACCGGATGAAGGGTCCGCAATAACTGAGGAAATGGTCACATATTCAGGAGAAGAGTCTTCAAGTGGTGAAACACTAGAAACAACAAGTCCAGTGACTGTTACCACTGTAGCAGCAGATGACAAACAAACAGTGACTGAAGACTTCTCTGGCATAACTGAAGATACGTTGACAGCCTCAGGAGATGAAACGGGAAGCACAACAGCAGAGCCCACCAGTCCCTGCCACAATGTCCACCTCCCAGGCAGGAGAAATGACATCTTCAGGAGATGAAGGATCAGGTGTGACGGAGGAAATGCTGACGTTTTCGGAGAACAAACGACTGCTGTAGATGAAAGCCTTTCCTTCCAACCGCCACCACAGACACTGTCCCAACTGGAACACTACCGGATGAAGGGTCCGCAATAACTGAGGAAATGGTCACATATTCAGGAGAAGAGACTTCAAGTGGTGAAACACTAGAAACAACAAGTCCAGTGACTGTTACCACTGTAGCAGCAGATGACAAACAAACAGTGACTGAAGACTACTCTGGCATAACTGAAGATACGTTGACAGCCCTCAGGAGATGAAACGGGAAGCACAACAGCAGAGCCCACCAGTCCTGCCACAATGTCCACCTCCCAGGCAGGAGAAATGACATCTTCAGGAGATGAAGGATCAGGTGTGACGGAGGAAATGCTGACGTTTTCGGGAGAACAAACGACTGCTGTAGATGAAAGCCTTTCCTTCCAACCGCCACCACAGACACTGTCCCAACTGGAACACTACCGGATGAAGGGTCCGCAATAACTGAGGAAATGGTCACATATTCAGGAGAAGAGACTTCAAGTGGTGAAACACTAGAAACAACAAGTCCAGTGACTGTTACCACTGTAGCAGCAGATGACAAACAAACAGTGACTGAAGACTTCTCTGGCATAACTGAAGATACGTTGACAGCCTCAGGAGATGAAACGGGAAGCACAACAGCAGAGCCCACCAGTCCTGCCACAATGTCCACCTCCCAGGCAGGAGAAATGACATCTTCAGGAGATGAAGGATCAGGTGTGACGGAGGAAATGCTGACGTTTTCGGGAGAACAAACGACTGCTGTAGATGAAAGCCTTCCTTCCAACCGCCACCACAGACACTGTCCCAACTGGAACACTACCGGATGAAGGGTCCGCAATAACTGAGGAAATGGTCACATATTCAGGAGAAGAGTCTTCAAGTGGTGAAACACTAGAAACAACAAGTCCAGTGACTGTTACCACTGTAGCAGCAGATGACAAACAAACAGTGACTGAAGACTTCTCTGGCATAACTGAAGATACGTTGACAGCCCTCAGGAGATGAAACGGGAAGCACAACAGCAGAGCCCACCAGTCCTGCCACAATGTCCACCTCCCAGGCAGGAGAAATGACATCTTCAGGAGATGAAGGATCAGGTGTGACGGAGGAAATGCTGACGTTTTCGGGAGAACAAACGACTGCTGTAGATGAAAGCCTTTCCCTTCCAACCGCCACCACAGACACTGTCCCAACTGGAACACTACCGGATGAAGGGTCCGCAATAACTGAGGAAATGGTCACATATTCAGGAGAAGAGACTTCAAGTGGTGAAACACTAGAAACAACAAGTCCAGTGACTGTTACCACTGTAGCAGCAGATGACAAACAAACAGTGACTGAAGACTACTCTGGCATAACTGAAGATACGTTGACAGCCTCAGGAGATGAAACGGGAAGCACAACAGCAGAGCCCACCAGTCCTGCCACAATGTCCACCTCCCAGGCAGGAGAAATGACATCTTCAGGAGATGAAGGATCAGGTGTGACGGAGGAAATGCTGACGTTTTCGGGAGAACAAACGACTGCTGTAGATGAAAGCCTTTCCCTTCCAACCGCCACCACAGACACTGTCCCAACTGGAACACTACCGGATGAAGGGTCCGCAATAACTGAGGAAATGGTCACATATTCAGGAGAAGAGACTTCAAGTGGTGAAACACTAGAAACAACAAGTCCAGTGACTGTTACCACTGTAGCAGCAGATGACAAACAAACAGTGACTGAAGACTTCTCTGGCATAACTGAAGATACGTTGACAGCCTCAGGAGATGAAACGGGAAGCACAACAGCAGAGCCCACCAGTCCTGCCACAATGTCCACCTCCCAGGCAGGAGAAATGACATCTTCAGGAGATGAAGGATCAGGTGTGACGGAGGAAATGCTGACGTTTTCGGGAGAACAAACGACTGCTGTAGATGAAAGCCTTTCCCTTCCAACCGCCACCACAGACACTGTCCCAAGTGGAACACTACCGGATGAAGGGTCCGCAATAACTGAGGAAATGGTCACATATTCAGGAGAAGAGTCTTCAAGTGGTGAAACACTAGAAACAACAAGTCCAGTGACTGTTACCACTGTAGCAGCAGATGACAAACAAACAGTGACTGAAGACTTCTCTGGCATAACTGAAGATACGTTGACAGCCTCAGGAGATGAAACGGGAAGCACAACAGCAGAGCCCACCAGTCCTGCCACAATGTCCACCTCCCAGGCAGGAGAAATGACATCTTCAGGAGATGAAGGATCAGGTGTGACGGAGGAAATGCTGACGTTTTCGGGAGAACAAACGACTGCTGTAGATGAAAGCCTTTCCCTTCCAACCGCCACCACAGACACTGTCCCAACTGGAACACTACCGGATGAAGGGTCCGCAATAACTGAGGAAATGGTCACATATTCAGGAGAAGAGACTTCAAGTGGTGAAACACTAGAAACAACAAGTCCAGTGACTGTTACCACTGTAGCAGCAGATGACAAACAAACAGTGACTGAAGACTTCTCTGGCATAACTGAAGATACGTTGACAGCCTCAGGAGATGAAACGGGAAGCACAACAGCAGAGCCCACCAGTCCTGCCACAATGTCCACCTCCCAGGCAGGAGAAATGACATCTTCAGGAGATGAAGGATCAGGTGTGACGGAGGAAATGCTGACGTTTTCGGGAGAACAAACGACTGCTGTAGATGAAAGCCTTTCCCTTCCAACCGCCACCACAGACACTGTCCCAAGTGGAACACTACCGGATGAAGGGTCCGCAATAACTGAGGAAATGGTCACATATTCAGGAGAAGAGACTTCAAGTGGTGAAACACTAGAAACAACAAGTCCAGTGACTGTTACCACTGTAGCAGCAGATGACAAACAAACAGTGACTGAAGACTACTCTGGCATAACTGAAGATACGTTGACAGCCTCAGGAGATGAAACGGGAAGCACAACAGCAGAGCCCACCAGTCCTGCCACAATGTCCACCTCCCAGGCAGGAGAAATGACATCTTCAGGAGATGAAGGATCAGGTGTGACGGAGGAAATGCTGACGTTTTCGGGAGAACAAACGACTGCTGTAGATGAAAGCCTTTCCCTTCCAACCGCCACCACAGACACTGTCCCAAGTGGAACACTACCGGATGAAGGGTCCGCAATAACTGAGGAAATGGTCACATATTCAGGAGAAGAGACTTCAAGTGGTGAAACACTAGAAACAACAAGTCCAGTGACTGTTACCACTGTAGCAGCAGATGACAAACAAACAGTGACTGAAGACTTCTCTGGCATAACTGAAGATACGTTGACAGCCCTCAGGAGATGAAACGGGAAGCACAACAGCAGAGCCCACCAGTCCTGCCACAATGTCCACCTCCCAGGCAGGAGAAATGACATCTTCAGGAGATGAAGGATCAGGTGTGACGGAGGAAATGCTGACGTTTTCGGGAGAACAAACGACTGCTGTAGATGAAAGCCTTCCCTTCCAACCGCCACCACAGACACTGTCCCAACTGGAACACTACCGGATGAAGGGTCCGCAATAACTGAGGAAATGGTCACATATTCAGGAGAAGAGACTTCAAGTGGTGAAACACTAGAAACAACAAGTCCAGTGACTGTTACCACTGTAGCAGCAGATGACAAACAAACAGTGACTGAAGACTTCTCTGGCATAACTGAAGATACGTTGACAGCCTCAGGAGATGAAACGGGAAGCACAACAGCAGAGCCCACCAGTCCTGCCACAATGTCCACCTCCCAGGCAGGAGAAATGACATCTTCAGGAGATGAAGGATCAGGTGTGACGGAGGAAATGCTGACGTTTTCGGGAGAACAAACAACTGCTGTAGATGAAAGCGTTTCCCTTCCAACCGCCACCACAGACACTGTCCCAACTGGAACACTACCGGATGAAGGGTCCGCAATAACTGAGGAAATGGTCACATATTCAGGAGAAGAGTCTTCAAGTGGTGCAACACTAGAAACAACAAGAACAGTGACTGTTACCACTGTAGCAGCAGATGACAAACAAACAGTGACTGAAGACTACTCTGGCATAACTGAAGATACGTTGACAGCCTCAGGAGATGAAACGGGAAGCACAACAGCAGAGCCCACAAGTCCTGCTACAATGTCCACCTCCCAGGCAGGAGAAATGACATCTTCAGGAGATGAAGGATCAGGTGTGACGGAGGAAATGCTGACGTTTTCGGGAGAACAAACGACTGCTGTAGATGAAAGCGTTTCCATTCCAACTGCCACCACAGACACTGTCCCAAGTGGAACACTACCAGATGAAGGATCCACAATTACTGAGGAAATTGTAAAATATGGTAATGATGTCACTGTCACAAGAAGGAAAATTTCAGATGTAACAACTGAAGATCCAGAGAAAAGAACGAAATTGTGGGAAAAGAAGGAATGGGAAGACAAATATAGTAGTACACAGGATGCAATGAAATCCCATGAGCGAAATACAATTGGTGCTGATAACCTTCTGGATTTAGGTTATACGTTGACTTCATACCCTGAAGTTGTCACGCAGGACAAAGAAACTATCAGTACAATAAGTAGAACTGAAGCATCAACAGAAGTGTACCACGTTAGTACCTATGCGACCACGATGATATCCGATGATACCACAGACACAGAGACACCCGATGATGTGACAGAGAAATGGACATCCGGTGATACCACAGAGAAATGGACATCTGGTGATACCACAGACACCGTGACACCCGATGATGTGACAGAGAAATGGACATCCGGTGATACCACAGAGAAATGGACATCCGGTGATACCACAGAGAGATGGACTTCCGGTGATACCACAGACACAGTGACACCCGATGATGTGACAGAGAGATGGACATCCGGTGATACCACAGAGAAATGGTCATCTGGTGATACCACAGAGAAATGGACATCCGGTGATACCACAGACACCGTGACACCCGATGATGTGACAGAGATGGACATCCGGTGATACCACAGAGAAATGGACATCCGGTGATACCACAGAGAGATGGACATCCGGTGATACCACAGACACAGTGACACCCGATGATGTGACAGAGAGATGGACATCCGGTGATACCACAGAGAAATGGACATCCGGTGATACCACAAAGAGATGGACATCCGGTGATACCACAGAGAAATGGACATCCGGTGATACCACAGACACAGTGACACCCGATGATGTGACAGAGAGATGGACATCCGGTGATACCACAGAGAAATGGTCATCCGGTGATACCACAGAGAAATGGACATCTGGAGAGACCAGAGATACAGTGATTCCCGATGCTGTGACAGAGAGATGGGCGTCTGGTGTCACTACAGACAAATTGTCATCCGGTGATACTTCATATACCTTTATGTCTGGTTATACCACAGACACATCGACATCCGATGCTGTTACAGACACAATGACATCTGACGGTACCACAGACAGGACATCTGGTACCCAGACAACAACCACACCAGATACACATGTTGATGCTACAACAAGTGATACCAGGGACAAAACTACAGATTCGTTCAGTGCGGAATCCGGTGACACTCCGGACAAATGGATGTCTCTATCCACATCTGAACCAACAGAGACCACAAATAATGTTTCATCCAAGCACGCAACCTTCCCAACGATGTCTTCAGAAATGAATACAAAGGATGAGCATACCCCTGATCATGGTGACACCCAGTACCCCGTCAGCGGAGATGTAGTCACATCTGTCACACAGTCTCCGTTGTCCGTTACAGACAGCAGTGTGGGTGGTTACAGTGGTTCGTCAGGTGAGGCTGGAGACACTGTGCAGACATCAACTTCTGACTTCTACACTGATGCCATGATTAGTCAAAAGTCAGACCACCCTTTACTCAGCAGACGAAGATAATACAACCTCATGGCCATCACCAGCGACTTCGGGATATGAACCGGACGAAAGGGACAAAAGTGAAACTACGTCACAGAGTTTTACAGGACAACCAACGACTTCTGTCAGTGATATTCATCCCAAAGCTAAGAGCGGTGAGACAACAACCAATTCCTTAAGTACTGATATGGAGTCAGTGATGACATGGCTATACGACACCATGACAACTCTATCTGCAGATGAGAAAACGAAGTCCCCTATAACAACACCAATACCAACGTCAAGGTCGTCTGAAGAAAAAAGTACTACAACAGCGACGCCAGCAACCACTGAGACGGATGAAGCAACAGAGAGTGGTATAGTTGGTGCGTTTACATCCTGGCTATTTTCCGCCGAGCCCACGGTTCCTTCAACAACCACGGAGACTGACTCCACGTCTACATCACAACAGAGTGTTATTAAGCAGACAGAAAAGCCGCCGGAAGCTTCCACGGTGACGACAATGAAACCACCATTCTTCATTACCATCATGGTGTCAAGGAATAGACACACGAAGGGATTAACGGAGTACGATAACAAGTTCCAAACTCCCACCCGTCCTACACCAACCAAGAAGTACACCAAGCCAAGCATTGGAGGGATCACAGTCAGACTTCGTCGTAAATTTGGCCGCAAGACACAAACAAAGCCATACATTAGCAGAAACGGTACAATCATTATGCATCGCAGAAACGGCGACTACAGCAAAAGAACTGTGATACGGAACAACGGCAACGGCAACGGCAAAGGTTACAGAGGAACAGACAGAAGAACAGGCATCAAGGGTGGTTCAAATAAGGCAATGCCAACTGTAAGACTTTCTGTTTATAGAATGGTGAAAAATGTTTATAACGTTGGTAGAATTGCTATTCGCCAATCGTACTTGAGGTGTAGAGCCTTGTTGAGAAGGACATTGATAAAACTGGCCCACCTTTGGCGTAAGTGTGTCAACGGGGCCGTGAAAGTGGTTCACACACCTTACCAAAAGGTGAGAAAACTTATACACAGAAAACTGAGTTTAGCATACAAAAATATACGTCAGGCTTATGATTATGGGCGTAAAGCTCTCAGCAGACACGTCGTCCATGTAAAACTTAAAGTGTATAATTATTATCTTTATCTAGCAAATTACTACAAACAGTATTATAATTTCTATTCCAATTACTTCACATATTATTGGAGTTATGCAAAGAAATATATTGTTTAGATATGGATTGAAGAACACATTGATATTCCATCTGTTCAATGACTGAAAACGACGTAGTATTAGCCCATCATTTGACCGAGCTCTTTGACTCTGAGTGATCTCTCCTCAGATGTACAGTTCCATTGCTATCATTTAGAGGAAGTGGTCATCATCCTTAACATATCAGAAGACACGTACAGTCAGACTCGTTATCCTAAATTTAAGGTGAAATTTGTGAATTTAAAGATGTTCTTGTGAAAACCTAGGTTGGTAGGTGATAAAGTCAAATATTCGAAAGAAGTTACAGCTTTCTCTCGCTCTTTCATCACAGTATCTTGGTAAGAAGTTACAGTTTTCTCTCATTGTTCATTAACAGTATCTTAGCAAGAAATTAGTTTTCTATTACTTTCCATAACGGTATCTTAGTAACACGTTTTGGTAAAGGGTGAAAGAGATGGTTACTTTAATTTTAAATATTTTTTATATAATATTTAATTTTGGCATAAAATAAGTGCGGTTCTAAAGTCAGTTTAATGTCCTTGGTAGAACATGTAGGATACTGATACTGTTTTAAACGCTTTCTGACGAGACATCCTGGTTTAATGTGCAATTATTCATGTGTGACGTGCTCTGGAGATAGATGGATGACAAATAAAATGAGATATATGTTACGTTAAAAATCAAATATCGTAACATGTACAATCTGTACTTCATAGATATGATAATATATTTGAATATACACAGATGTACCGGTAAACAAACTTTAGAAATTGCGATTAGAAGTTGTGTTGAACTAACTATCAAAATTATGTTGCATTTGGAGAAAAAGGCAGAAACAGCACATTATGATCGTGCATTATTTGAACACCTGTGCATGTGTGCCAGAACACCTGTGCTCGTGTGGCTGAACACCTGTGCACGTGTGTCTGAACACATGTGCCCGTGTGCCTGAACACCTAATTATTACCTAAAAATATGTCAGTTCGAGATATTTCTAAAGTTTGTTCATCGTCATCGATGAAATCTTTGTAGCATCATTTTTGTGAATTATTGTTTTGTTTTGTAAAGCAATTTTATAAATAATATTGGTCAATCATCATTTCACGCACTACATGTGCCTGACATTTGTTTTGCAGAGTGTTAGCATGTGTAATTAACTCAGAATCGGATCTCATGCCCTGCCTTGTTAACCTTGCGACAAGTGGCTTGACATGGTATTTT